TTATCCATGTTCATCTTAAGACCTATCCGTTGGGAAACACTATCGAGGTCATTGAGCATAGTGCTTAGGTCCTCCAGCGATTCTGCCATAAGGACTATATCGTCGGCAAATCGAAGGTGAGTGATGTACTCGCCATTGATGTTGATACCGTATCCTTTCCAGTCCAGAAGCTTGAAAACGTCTTCCAATGCAGCGGTGAAGAGTTTCGGGGATATGACGTCACCCTGTCTTACACCTCTCTGCAATTGGATAGGTTTCGTACTCTGGTTCTGTACTCGGATAGCCATCGTAGCCCTACTGTACAAGCACTTCAACACTTCGATGTACCGACAGTCAACTTGGCACCGCTGAAGGGACTGCAGCACCGCCCAAATTTCGACGGAATCAAAGGCTTTCTCATAGTCCACATACGCCAGACATAGTGGCAAATTGTACTCTTCGGACTTCTGTACAATTTGCCGAAGGGTATGTATGTGGTCTATGGTGCTAAAGCCCTTTCGGAAACCGGCTTGTTCGGGAGGCTGGAAGTCGTCAAGTCTGCGCGCGAGACGATTCGTAATGACTCTCGAAAACAGCACGTAGACGCGGCTCAGAAGGGAAATCGGTCTATAGTTCTTCAAGAGAGCGTTGTCACCTTTCTTGAAGAACAAGACCACCGCACTTCTGCTCCACGCCTCCGGTGTAATGCCACCATGGAGGACGGAATTAAAGAGCTTCTGAAGGACTTCAAGTACCGGTCTTCCACCCGCTTTCAGAAGCTCCGCTGTAATTCCATCCTCGCCTGGGGCCTTACCGTTTTTAAGGTGCTGGAGAGCCATTCTAATCTCGCTCAGACTGACGTCCGGGATATCTTCGGAATAGTGTCGGATGAGACTCGCTCTTGGATCGTTACTCACACTTGCGTGTGGCTCCAACGATGACGTGTACAGCTGCCCATAGAACCTCTCAATCTCACTCAAAATCTCAGGTGTCCCGGAAACGATGCTGCCACATCCTGTCTTCAGCTTTGACAGGTGGCTCTTTCTGGCAGACAGATCTCTGGCAAAGACTTTGGAGCCTTGGTTCCGCTCGATCGCTTCTTCAATACGAGCTGTATTGAAGTTGCGTAAGTCCCGCCGCATGCATTTGGAGATCTGTCTGTTCAGATGCCTGTATGCTGTCAAGTCTGTTGAAGAATGTAGCTTCATCTCCCGTCTAACAGCCATGAGATTAAGAGTGTGATCGGAGAGTTTTTGTGTTCTTCTGCGGCGGGTCTTGCAGAACTTAGCTCCGACCGCATGGACAGTTTCCACGAGCTTGTCATTCATATCGTCCACTTCATTGCAGTCTTCTAGGCACTGAAAACGGTTTTGTAATTCGAGCTGAAAGGTTTCGGGACTTTGGAACAGAGCACGAGGGGGACGGAGCGTTGACTTCATTAGACGAGACCTCTCCAACTTAACGTTTAGGTTCAGTGTGCCTCTAACCATTCGGTGATCGCTACCAGTTTTCACCCTCGCGATCACGGAGACATCACTGAACAGTTGTCGTCTGGTCGTCATAATGAAGTCAATCTCATTTTTTGTCGAACCGTCGGGGCTCGACCAGGTCCACTTCCTGTGGGGCCGCTTCTGGAAGAAAGAGTTCATCATAAAGAGTCCCTCTTTCTCCATGAAGTCGGCCAGCTGCTGGCCCCTTGGGTTCCGTTGCCCTATTCCAAATTTCCCTACTTTCAGCTCACCGTTCTCTCTTGTGCCTAGTTTTGCATTGAAGTCTCCCATTAACACCGTATATTGGGTTTTGGAGGAATGCATGGCTCTAGAGATATCCTCATACATTTCCTCCACCTCCCCATCGGGGTGTGCCGAGGTTGGTGCGTAAACCTGTATGACCTTCAGCGAATACCGTTTGGTGATTCTGAGTATAAGGTACGCAACCCTCGTCGACACACTCCCGATCTTTACAACGTTGTTAACGAGAGACTTGTGGACGATAAATCCGACACCTCCTTGGGACAGATGGTCGCCCTCCCGGTGATAGAGCAAGTTGCCGGATTCGAGGATTACCGTGTCCTCCCCCTCTCTTCGGACTTCGGATAATCCTATAATATGCCAGCGCAACTTGTCTATCTCTTCTTCCAGCTCCACGATCTTCTCGTCAGTTCTCAGGGTGCGTGCGTTGTACGTTGCCAGGTCGAGTCGTCGTAGGTGGCAAGCGAACCTCCACCGGAGATTCTTAGCACCCCCTGCCCCGCCGTTACCATGGTCGCCACCGTAGCCAGGAATAGCGGGGCCGCCGGGGACTGGGGGCCGTCTCTTTGTTACATTCATAGGGGGTATTTGCCATAGTTGCCACGCTTGGCGAGCGGGTTGGCAACCGCAGTTTTTTTATTGTAATATTGGCTATTATCAGGAAGATGCTGCTGCCCATCTCCTGCCTGTTTCCCTTTGTCGCCTTTTACGACACCCACGGGAGGAAATGGGGTAGTGGTATTCTTGACCGCCACTACACGGCAACTTTATTACTTTACTACTAATTATTTTACATAATTTAACTTAATCACAAACTTTTTAAATTATTAGTACACTATTGGGAATAATTACTTATTTGATACATCTTTTCCCTAAGAATAATATAAAAGCCTGTGCATCAGAGGCATTATCACCTAAGTAATCCAAAAAAATATAAATTCTACTTTTCAACAAAGTGCAAAAAATTGAGGTTCTTTAGAATAGAATAGTAAATATTCAGTTTTATTAAATACAGATTACAAGAATACTTTTTGAGAGTAATTTAATTCTTAATTTATATTCACTGTGTATGTATTTTTTTTATAGAATAAAGGTGACAAGTGAGCACACAGTCCACCTGATGGTAAGTAGTTGCTGTGGCTCATAGACATCTACATCTATCCTCGATTACAAATCAAGATGCAGATGCATTGTCACCCGTGAGGACTAAGATGGAATGTATCGTTTTCAGTAAAAAGGGTCTCCGGTTCTCTACACTCACTATTATCACCGGTATTCTGTGAGAGTGTGGTCCTTCCCCGGTTGAGCCGAACCATTCTTGCTACAACTATACAACTAAGATAGTTACAGCATAGCTGCAGCATAGCTCTACCACACACAAAAATGTACTGATTATTCTAAAACCGCTGAATCAATTTAGATTTTATCTCTTCTTTTAAAATATATTATAACTCCAGGAAAATAAGTGATGAAGTTTTTATTAAATTTAAATTCCTTATTTTACTCAAAGGGTTAACTATTTAACTTTTAATAAAAAGTAAAACTGACTTAGAAAACTAAAAAGAATACAAAGACTTCTATGTATACTTCTAGACTGCCAATTCAGAACAAAAACTGTGACACAGATTTGGATTGTGTGGGCGTGGGCACGGGCCTGAGCTGGTAGCTGGCACCGGAAATAAGCCACACAATTGTAGTTTCATTTACAACAGTTACTGTTTTCAGGCAATACTACATATGTTACATACTTACACATAAAAAATGACAATGTTTTCTTAGTCACATTAAAAAAAAACCAGTGTTAAATTGTCGAAAGCAACATTAATACTTACAAAGACAACTAACAAAGAACTAGTCTTCCAGCCCGCTTGCAGTTGACTAAAGGAGTTACGTAGAATTGACTGTAACTTAGTGTGCAATTTATTAAGGCTACAGAATCCATCTAGTAGTAAACGTAAGAAGTCTTTGAAAGAAAAAAATAATTTACTTAATCCAAAGAATTCAGGGTTATGTGCTAATTATTTTATTATTTGTAGTTTTTGAAATCAGTTCTTAATATTTCTATCCATCCATCCATTACAGCCTATAAAAGTCCACTGCTAAACATAGGATTACCACATAGATTGCCTCAAGGATGTCGTGTCTTGATTTTGCCATATTTCTTTTCTAGTTTCTGTGATGTTAATGTTGTTAGCCTATGTGGCTCTTACAGCTTCATCGAACTCAGACCTGGCTTTGCCTGTTTAACAGGCAGGTTAGTAACAGCAGTTTTTATAATTATGTTTTTATCGGCAAGCTGCTTCTCCCCATCTTCTGCTACAGTTTCTCTCTGCTGCCTCTTATAACACCCACAGGACTATCTGGGGTAATGGATATTCTTACACTACCACTACATGGCCACTTTTATTAAAAGTTTATTTTGTTTAAGTTAAGTTTAAATAGATAGGAAATGGTATAAAAACAAGGTTACCTAGGTTATACTGTAACATAGGTACATAAGCATTATTAAGTGCTCATTTTTTATGTCATCTATTATACCTAAACATATAATGAAAATGTGATAAAGAGTTTATAAGTAAATACAATATTTTGCTTTAATACTAATAGTTCTAGTTTAGCTTGATAGATGATATATATAGAACCATAAGAGCATTTTGATATTATCAATTAAAATAATTATGAATCATAAAATGTTTGCATAAAAGTTGTTCTTCTTGTAGTGTTATATTAATTTAGAAAAACAAGAGTTTGATCTTAAATGAATCATCCAGCTTCAGATTAAGATTTTAAATATTTTAACATTATTTGACTTTTTTGTTATATTTTATTAAAAATCATAATCCTATTTAGTATGTATACATTTTTTCATTATATGTATATTGATTACTATTGTGTTGTATCATTAGAGATTTCTGTAATATTTTAAAAAGAAAATTATTTAAGTAAGCTGTATAATAATATTAATGATAATAAAACTAAAACAACACACATTGATCATGAGTTATAATAAAGTCTTAGTGAGAATACTAGATCATAATAATAAAATTATCCTATTGTCCATAAAAATGGATTATGAAATTTCATTACATTCATACATCTATCATTAAGACATGAACTTACATACATGTCCAGCTTATAAAAAGTTAAAAACCAGGTAAAAATTGATTATCTCTAAAGATTGAAATTGGAAATCATTGAGATGATTGCAGTACCTTCCAAAGCATAATATGAATAAGTTTTTAGAATAAAGAACTTTCAAAGGGCACTTACCACTTTCTATGTATGGCAGAGCAAGCAGCAGAAATACTACATATCCAATTTCACTAAACATTGTCGCTTGCAAACACACACTTTTTGTACCACTAAGTCATTGCACACACAGCTGATTTTCAAACCACACAAAACCTTTGTCTGTTTTTGACAAAAACGCATGCGCGTACAAACAATATATTTTTTATTTACATTACAATTCCTAATATTCATTCATCACGATTATAACTACAGTATCACCTATGATCACTTTGAACTCATTCAAGCTTAGGAATATTTAAAACACTGAATGAAACAATAAATATATCAACATAAACCGTATCACCCATAACTTGTCAACATAAAAAGTAACTATAACAATAAATTAAAAAATGTCCACCGCCGAGATAATGTTCCATATTTTGTGAAATAAAATGCACTATGTATTAATTTAACTATAAATTAATATAGAAGCAAAGCAAATACAGAACTTCACAAAGTCGCCTTCGCCTGCCTGCCTAACGGCCTGACGTACTGATCAGCAGGGCTGCCAGATCAATTAATTACTTACAAAATGTGTATTTTAATATGATTATCTAAGGACACATACCGTTTTTTTAAAACAAATTGTTAATTGGCTACAAAAATAAAAACTCAAAAGAACTATAAGAGAACTTAAACATTGCTTTGCATTCCGTTTGTAAATGTACTAAATGTTAAAAATAACATCGAAAGAACGAAAGTTTCATAGTCGTTGATGATGATAAGTATTTTTTTTTTTAAATTTAATCCTTTTAATTGGATATCGCTCTCTGGGTAGTATTCGTTGGCATTGAAAGTAAACCTGACTGTATTAAGCCTGCACCACCTGCGCACTGTTTAGTGTTTACAAGTAACAAATTAATAAAATAATAATAACGACGTTAAAAATGAACTCAAAAACATAAACCTACAATTGTTTTACTGTTACTTTGTGGCCGTGTAGTGGCGTTCTCCAGTTGCCAAACCACTTGCGAAGCGTTGTAACTATGGCACGTATCACCCTTTGATAATCTGTAATGAATAAATGATAAACCCAACTATTGTGTTATTTATATGAGTTATATATTTATTGCACATGACGATAAGGATATTCATAAATTTATAATTAAATGAATTAGTCGTAATATTCTTATAATAGTCCTTACATTTTAAAATAATAAATGTTTTAAATGTCATTTGCCTGCCAAGTAGTGAATTTTACCAAGTATAGACTACAAAAGACTTAAGGTGAAAGTGCCAGGGTAACCCGCGAAATTCAAATTCTCTTACGTTTTTTGCAATTTGTAGGTCAGTGTCAGGTTGTATGTTTAATAAAATATGATTTGCGACCGTAACTAGTATGTATATACAGAATTATAATCATTATAATCATCAATACAACCCTCTACGTTCGTATAATCCTATTGTATGGCTATTTCCAGAAAAACTCATTTAAAGGGATTATATGAACTTGGAGGGTTGTATTGGTGATTTTAATGACAATAATTCTGTAAACACATACTCGTTACGGTCGCGTATCATATTTTGTTAAACATTCAACCTGATCCTGACCTGCAAATTCCAAAAAACGTAAGAAAATTTGAATTTCGCGGGCCGTTCTGGAGCTTTTACCTTAAGATCAAATAAGAAAGTAATTCAACTCGTTGAAATAATATTATTTGCACAAAACACAGATGAGGGGTGAAGGATGGTAAGAGAAGCATGAAGTGATGAAGGGTGAGGCCGGAGATTATGTTCAGCAATGAACTTATGGAGGGCTGTAATAATGATAATGATGACACAGGTGAGTAGCTGCTTATTATAGAGATACCTACTTATGATAACTTTATTGAAATTATGTTTTCAGATTAAATCTATATCAATAAATTAAATTTGGAAGAAAACAAAATAATTTTATTCTTATCTCTCCTTATCCATTAAATTAAGAGGGTTGTAAGATTTGATTTTGAATAAATTTAGTTCTCCAGCGGTATAAGATAAGTTTACTTTACTGGCAGCCCTGTCGGAACTCCATTCTACGAACGGAATTAATGCACCATAGACTTTCTGTAACAATTTTTTATTAACATTTTGGCTTGGATGCTTGTCTTTTAATCAATGTTTTCATTTGATATCTTCGTTTTTATAGCTTTTCATTATAGCGTAGCCTTTGGAAGATTTTGATGGCAACTTGAGGCAGCAGACAGTTGGCGATAATATCTCAAGGCGCCTAAGCTTACACCTTATCTTGAGATTCTCATCACCATCTCATCACTATCTCATTTTTATACGTGGTAGAGCCATGCTGCAGCTATATTAGTAGTATAGTTATTGCATGAATGGGTCGGCTCGACCGGGGAAGGACCACGCTCTCACAGAATACCAGCGTAAAATAGCATCTCAATGCTGCTGTGTTTCGTATAGTAAGTGTAGAGACCCGGGGACCCCTTTTACTGGAAAAGAGGCATTCCATCTTAGTCCTCACTGGTGACAACGCATCTGCATTTTGATTCGCAAACGAGGATTGATGTAGATGTCTATGGGCCACAGCAACCACTTACCATCAGGTGGACTGTGTGCTCGTTTGTTACCCTATTCTATAAAAAAAAAACGTTCACGTTGTAGTCACAGAATATGATTGGATCAATTTACGATTTTTTTTATGTAAAATATGCTCTGATGCAGTATGTAAAAGTACCAAAATAAATTTTATTCTATTCAGTAGGTAATCTGTGGGATATGGGATAGGAGTTTTAGCGGGAACTTGACCAGCGACGGATTGCTGCTCCAGTATTATTAGTGCAAGTGCTTTGATGGTGATGTGATTCTCAAGATAAGGTGTCTCTGCTTAGGCGCCTTGAGATACCATCGCCAACTGTCAGCTATCTGCTGGCTCAAGTTGCCGTCAAAATCTCCCAAGGGCTGCACAATGTGACGAATCAACATATTGTGAAGCAGTGTACTATGAAGGATATTTATACATTGTAACTTCAGGCTCAGAAGGGCTAGGAGAATAGATTACCGTGAAACCTGGCAACTTTGTCATTTTTGGAAGGATTTAAAAGTTTAAGTCAATTAGACTGAATCACAACAGAAGTTAATATTAGCGCAAAATAATACCTCCTGCGCATAACATACAAATCAAAATAAAAAAACTGGCAACCCTGTTAATACTCCAAAAACTAAGGCTCACTGTCACTCTCACTCATCTGCAGAAGTGTGCGAGAGAGATGGGTAGATCCAAATACACGGACAAAGCGTTAGGGAGTAGGGCTTTTTACTTAGCCTGTTGCTCGTATTAAGTAACCAAATTTGAATGCAATAAAATTGTAAGTATTCGCTTCGATGTTAATAACATTTCTTATTAAAAGTATTAATACCGGCTATATTTTTCATTTGTCTGTTATTTGCGAAATTTCTCCAAGAGTCCTGTGCTTGCATGTTCTCGTGCGCTTAGTGAAGGAATTAGTTGATAGGCTACCACTTAGTGTGTCAGTGGTGGAATATTTTTTACATTTATCACCAAGCCATATGTACCTCTCAACCAGCAGACCCAACGTTGATGATTTTCCCTGGCAATTAGGGAAACCTAATATTGACCGGGAAACTATAATGAACCACTTTGTTCTTTAAGTACGTTGCGCAACGAAGTTATCGATACAGCTTCTCCCAATGATATCGTAAATTTTTTGGTACAGGTATTGAAAACACAGAATGCTGGAGGGAATCCGATATTTAAGTTAATCCGAAAGTTTTTATTGTTATGTCCCTCATTACCTTTAAGTACATAGGCTGCACTAAAAGTATCGGGAATGGAATATTTCCACTGTTCCTGTCATACTAAAATCTTTTTAATTGAAAACTCCTTGGTTTTAAAAATCGAATACCATTTATTTATTTAAAAAAAGATTCTCGGTCTTGTCACAAGATTTTGTCAAACTTGTTTAGTGGTTGAGGAAATGGAATTGACTCGAGAAAATTCAAGAGTGATGATTTATTATGACTTTCGAAGTGGTTTAACACAAAAAGTGTGTTGACCGGATGATTTTTGCATTTGGTGATGAAGCCCCATCCAAAACCACAATTTATCGCTGGTTTGCTGAATTTCAACGTGGACGTGTCAAGCTCAGTGATGATCCCCGTCAAGGTCGTCCAAAAACTGCAGTCACCCAAGAAAACGTTGATGCTGTGCGTAAGCTGATTGAGGAAGATCGACATGTGACATACCGCAAAATTCAGGCAACTTTAGACATTGGCATGAGTCAAATACAAATAATCTTGCATGAAAAATTAGGTGTAAAAAAGTTGTTTTCCCGATGGATACCGCATTCGCTCTGTGAAGAGCCAAAAGCGGCTCGCGTTACTTGGTGCGTCAGAATTCTCGAAAGATTCCACGCAGGATCCTCAGATGCTGTGTACAACATCGTATCAGGTGATGAATCCTGGATATACGCGTACGAACCCGAAACAAAAAACCAGTCACGAGTTTGGGTGATCGAAAATGAGTTAAAGCCAACAAAAATAGTTCGTTCACGGAGTGTTGCAAAAAAAATAGTGTCCACGTTTGTCTCCAAAACCGGCCATGTTACGACTATTCCTCTTAAGGGACAAAGAACGGTTAATGTAGAATGGTATGCTAGCATTTGTTTGCCACAGGTCGTTTCTGAACTCCGTAAAGAGAACTGAAACCGCCGCATCATCCTCCATCACGACAATGCGAGTTCTTACACCGCACACAGAACAAAAGAGTTTTAGAGCAAGAAAACATAGAATTATTAGACCATCCGCCGTAAAGCCCCGACCTAAGCCCTAATGATTTCTATACTTTCCCTAAAATAAAGAATAAATTGCGTGGACAGAGATTTTCATTACCTGAAGAAGCTGTGGACGCCTACAAAACGGCCATTTTGGAGACCCCAACTTCCGAATGGAATGGTTGCTTCAATGATTGGTTCCATCGTATGGAAAAATGTGTCAAATTTCGCGGAGAATACTTCGAAAAGCAATAAATACATTTTTAAATAGTAATGTTGTGTCACTTCCTTGATTCCCGAAATTTTCAGTGCCGCCCTCGTATAATAACCCTTTTTGTAGTTTTTCTTTAATAAAACTTTTAAACTTGTTTATTGACAAACTTTGAATATGTTTTGGGATTTTGTTGTAAAATCGTAATGCTATCGTTGAAAGTTTTTTAGTGTGATGGGCACGATAAAGACAAAATAAAGGAACAGAATGTAACTACCCATGCTGATTGCAATTCTTAGAATGTTCGAAATATTTGCTGCAGTAATTTTCAACCGAGCAATCACATGATCAGTTTACATGCTGGGAGAAAAATGTATGTTTCCAGTTCCAGCGAAGCTTGCACCAGGACCAGCACAGCAGAGGCTACAGAAAATTTTAACGGTGAAAGTCTCGCTGATGCTTTGTTGCTGCTGGCAGCAAATGATGATTGCCGATTTGTTTAAATTTGATACTCTATGTAGGTACATCTT